GGGGGGGGGGGGGGGGGGGGGGGGTAAGAAGACGTAGAAACGAAAACGGGAATGCATGGCTTCAGTGTAGGCTGTTAGATCACTATTTTTTAAAATTCAGACTAACATGAAACAAATTGAACCAGTGGTAGACAGTCCTAAAACTTCAAGGTTAGAATACTTCCGGGTCGATGACGCACTGGATTTGTGGAGGGAAAAGCAAATAAATTCACTTCTATGCTTTCGCTTAGTGTGGAATTTTACGCGAGGTGGTTTCCATAGTAAAACAATAGCGGTTTAAGGAATTTGTAGCTGATAAAAGATTAGCGCTGTGAACCCGATGTGCTATGCTGCTGTGTTCCTGGAGGAGAACATAGAAGACTACTCCTTCAAAATGCTCCCATAATCGCGGATATATTGAGTGAGCAGCGCCGTGTGGCACCTGCGCAGGTAATTCTCCATCATCGACTCTAACTCATAAGACCTAATGCTTGTTTTTTAATAACTGAATATAATTTCCTTGCTAATTTGAGCACTCGAGGATAAGTGGGTAGTCTTATAAGGACAGGCTTTGCCGTATCGCACTATGTACATGAACAATTTGTTTTACGAAACTTAGCCTTAAATTTAATCCGTCTAAAATTGAAATATATGAAAGTTTGGACATTAAATTCATATTTTCAAAATAGTTGACGCAAGCGCCGCAACCGCAAGCACCGCTGGGAGATACCACCCTGCCATGTTCTACGTAATTTCGACTTTCAATGGCTTCAGCAGTCGTATTATGAGCTCTGTCAAAAAAAGTTCATTATTAAGATTAAGAAACTACACTGAACTGAGACGTAATCGCTTTCAATTCAAAGGTACAGTATTGTCGGCTATCTGCGATTGCACACAATGCATATCGTCCGCTATGTGTGAACCAAGTGACGGCCAGATAGCACATACAGTAGTCGATTGCCATTCAGCCATTCAGCATTAAATATGAAATGGGGAAAATCCTAGCAAAATCAAAGACAGCTATAAATATGCCAAGACCACTAGTCTTTTACTAGGAACAGAAAGCGCTCGAAGTTCTACTAGGAATATGGCGTGCTTTTAATTCCATTCGTAGCATCGTAGCGGTGATTAAATGCATACGTGGCATATACAATGAATTGTTGTGACTGAGCAACGTGCGAACCAAGTTTATCCTTCAAGTCAACTCTGATGCTAAATTACCGACCCTCGGAGGGATGGAAAGCTTACTTTGTACCGGGTGGCATTGAACTAACAATCATCTGTGTAGTGCATTGCACATCTAGCCATTGCGTCATACACGTGATTTTTATATTAACTATAGTTGAAAAGCATAAATACGTTAATGGATTCTTGAGACGACAGTTCTCTGTTATTATTACACTATTCTGTAGGACTCACGTCCATTAACTATAGGAATGGCCGTCAGAACGAGACATGCCACCATCACAATGCCAAAAACGATTTGACCGCATGCCGAAATAACGCACATGCCTAAAACACAATATATTTAACATCGGACTATCTCTGGAATACGAAACACTATGGAAGACTCTGCATAACGACTGGTAACAACATTCCGAATACCTCAATAAAGTGAATGCAGCTCTTATAGGAAAAACAAAGAAAAGTGAGAAGAAAAAACGGCATAATGAACCCACTGCATGTACCCTGTTTCCGATTATTCAGAGAAACTGCCAAGTCTTCTGCTAGCAGTGACCGAAATTCATCGTCTCACTAATATGATTGGATTAGAGGCCACGTGCTTCTCAGTGCTCTAGAAAATTCGAAAAGCGCTATCCCATTAATCCAAAAGTTATTAATATTTTTTTCTGTGAAAAAGAAACTTTGATTCCTGCAGCCAATTTTCTGTTAACCTCGGAATTGATCAAATAGTTTCCGATATTCTTGTTGAGCAAACACAAAGTGTTACTTCATCCTTTATTCCGTTAAAGCTGACGTTTCTGCAATATCGCCTTCTTCAGAGCCGTTTTTTTGCGTGCCTTCCATTGAGGGAGAGGTGCCGTTTAGAGTAGCATATGGTCGCTGAGTTATTAGTACTTTTCATAAACTGACTGTGAAGATGGACCAAACAGGAAACCAAATGAATACGCGGTTAGAATCGGAAGCTCCAATGAATGTGACTGTCAGGCCCATGTCATCCATTTCCTGGCCAACCACCGTGCGACGACGACACGTTCAGTTCCATGGTATTTCGTTGAAGACACAATAAGTCATTGACAAGAAACAATACCTTTTCTCCACACTAAACCTCCAAAACGTTCTTCATCACCACGTGACCAAATACGTTTCATGTACAAAACACAAACAATCAGGATCAGTGAAAACATTTGCTCAGGAAATCCAAATTAAGGCTGAAATTCTCGAAGGGAGCTTTTTTCCCAGTTGAATGTGCAAAATATGAGCAGAAGATGACGAAGTAGACAATTGCACGTCTGAGAACATTTGTGTTCCGTCGAAAGAATCATTTCTGGACGAGAAAGATCTTAGTTTTTTTAGTTGCATGACGCAACATCAGAGACTGTGCAAATTCCAGCATTTCTTCCTTTGGGTTCGTTGTCTCGCGGCTGCCATACATGATGGTCATCTGATTGTGTGTAGGTCTGGCTGTTCCTTGAGGATCTCTTATCTTCTTTATGAATGTCATTGAATAGTGGTCAGGTAGATTCTCCGAGGAACTCTGTGATATTAATGCTATAGGTCCTCTGGCCTTTATCATAGGCTGTCGCCAGTGAGAGGGTGTGAGAGATTTGTCACCCTGCATTCGTTTTTTTATTGGACATTCTACTAAAGACCTTTTTTGGCCAGCTTTCTACGGATGGCAAACGAGTTTGAATTGGTACATGTTTTGTTTCATAACTAATTTTCGGACTTAAACCGTAGGAAAAGCTAACTATTTATCTATGGAATGATGCAGTTTTTTTCTACTATTGTTCAAGCCGACTTGGTCATCTATAGTCTGATGTCATCAACTACCATATCTTTCGAATTTTGAAAAGTTGCTTTTTCTCCGAAAAAAATTAGAGAAGAAGGAACTGCCCATTGTGACTTTGCTTTTTCCAAATAGCAAAGTTTAAGTTGGTATAGCACCAAAGTGCTAACTTTCGTGCATTTCTTTGTTCCAACTATAGAGGGAGAGAGAAACAGAAATAGAGTCAGAAAAGGAGGAAGAGAGACGGAGGGAGACGGAGGGAGAAAGAGCGAGAGATAGAAAGACAGGAGAGAAGAGGGAGTGGGAGGTCGAAAAGAAGATAGGAGTCTCAAACCTTGAGAAAGATTTTCGCATTTATTTCCACATAAATTCTCAAATTTGAAACAGTAGATTGGAAAGTTAGAAAAAGAAATGGCTTCGATGATAGAATGCCACACGACCGGCTCATTTTCAGTGGTCGTAAAACGGCCCCAGAATGTGGGAAAAACCCGAGCCAAACCGATTGCTCATTCAACAAATACGATCGTTCGGTGGAGGATTCAGCCGCTTTCGTCCAGACGCCCATTCAACGGCAGTTTAGCGCCCAAACTTAATCCCTGACGGCTGCGCCTTCCGAGGAAAATAACGCCACGTGTCCCTACTCCACTAGGTCATAGACAGCCGTGAAAAAAGGAGTGAATGATGTTCATAGTGGTTTATTTGTTATGGAAATCTAAATACACTGTAGCTGTTTACTTGAATGAATGCATAGCTGTATGTTTAAGCACCATTAACTCCCACACAAGTAGTAAAAGGCCCAAGATGGTGGCGTCATTCTTCTGTTCTGAGTGAAACAAGGAACAACACAAACCATAACAAATAGCAGCAATGAACAAAGAATACTACCCGATTCTCTTTTAAGAACGGACATCATTTATTTCTTCTCATTATTACTGGAGAAAAGCAAATAGCTTTCAGTATGATTGGATTTTCGATTACATTTCAAAGTACTATTGAAAATGTTTGAATTGGACCATTCAAAACACAGTACTTCGGAATGCGAAGTCTAACAAATTCACTATAGAAACGAACCTTCCATCACCCTTGTGTAAGTAAACAGGACGATTACATGACTTTTACCAAAGGGAAGAGTAATGCCAAAATCATAGAGAGCGACCAAAAGTAGCGAGAATTCAACCGTTTCATGTATTTAGAAAAAATATGATCCATATAGGGCAAAAATATGGCAGCTAGTGAAGAACTTTTGTAATGATCCAACCAAGTAGAATATGTGGACACCACATCGAAACTAGTTGTTAAAAAAGTTCATCTGAAGACGATGATGGAGCTAATCTCTGAAAACACTCATTCATTTGTAAGTGAACAAACAACAGTTATTGAAATGCACCTTATGCGAACGGATTTTGAATGGGTTTTGAAAAAAGGGAAGAAAATTAGGAGGACCTCTTTATCGCTGTGAAAAGCTACGAATGGGCAAGTCACAGCGAACTGAATGTACTGCACTGGAGTCGATAAAGCAAGTCGAGTTATCATCGTTATCTATGAAATTGAAAGGAAAAAGTCGAAACCCATCATATTCCATCAGATTCATCGACTATTGAAATGAAATCGTGATGAAAAAAATCGCAGATACAAAGGCAGAGTGAACTTGGCCTACTCGGAACAAAGCTGGTGACGAGGAGCTGCTCGGTCGAGTTGCACAGCCAGCTGCGCCGACGTTTCCATGAGGACTGGCTTCTACCGTCCCCGTCCTTTGGCATCTTATCGCTCCGTTAACAGTCTGTTGACTCATCGATGCGTTGAATCTGCTCGATCACTTCACCGACGTGACCCCACTAACGCTCCAGATTGCTTGCAACGCCCAAGAAAATGAGATATTTGCAAAACTCCGAACTGCAGGTGTCTGCGGTGGGGATCGAACAAGCTATTACCTTTTTCGGGTGCTATCGAGTTCACCACCACGCTATGCGGGTCTATCACTTCGTCTTTCTCTCATTTAGTTTGTGTCGTCTTTTTATCTACCGTTTCACATAATACTCTTCAGTGAAGAACTGTACTATGCAGTGAATAAAAAAGTTAACGCTGCTGAAGGAAGTGTCTTAAAGCACCATTTCAAATGAAAAATTTACAACATCGATGCAATGAATCTGCTCACACACTTCAATGATGTAACCCTTCAACAGTTTAGATTGTATGAGCGCTGAAAGAAGCGCTTTAGGGATTAATTTTAAATGACAAAATTACAACGTTGAATGTCAACAATATTACCGCAATATCTAAATTGACAAGTGCATTTACGAAAAATAGATGGATGAATGTTTATTTGAATATATGATGCCTTTGATATGGTAAAATTTCCGAATATTGATATGAGTGCAGCGCACGTATTGCTCCGTGGTAAGAGATGACCTGCATTGTAAACCTGGTCTCTAGTTGGATGTCGCATCCCGGCTAACCAAGGCCTCCATCGCTTCCAGGTTGGTAGCTTAGTATCGCGCTCATACGAGAGGATAAAAACACTCACTTGATAACTCGAAAGACCGACTTTCTATAAACCTCGGCGTAGATAGTTGATATATTTATTTATATGGTCTTATAAACTGATCTTAAACTGACGCGAGGTTGGTACAGGTTTTCGTTGTCGTTGTCGTTGTTTTTGATGTTGTCGGTCGATGGCTAACGTATCGGCGACTTCGTCTTCCTCAGAGCCGTGATGTTAGGTGGCCAGTCCCACACGTAAGATCAGTTTATAAGACCATATAAATAAATATATCAACTTACTCGATACATCTCCAGGTTCCCAAAAGTAATTGCACAGGCTAACTGTATTGGTCAAATATGCCTTCGCTCACCTCTGCGAATGGTGCCGAATGTCGAGCACGGTGCATCTCTAAAGGACTGAAGGACGCCAAACTCTCCTTTGTTGTTATGACTATATTATGTCTCACATGTGCACAGAAGATAATATCATCGGTTGGACATGAGATTTGGCTTTGGAAACTAAATATAGAGTGCTATCTAAAAAAAATTTTTCAGAGTGGCGGCCGTGTGCGCAGGAGATTCGACGGACCCGAACAGCATCTCGTTTTCCACCCAAGGCCATTTCTTCGGCCTTACTTTTCTGCAAATAAGATTCCGTGTGAGTCTGTCAAAAACCCCTCCTATCTAACAGTATAAAAACACATGAATTATTTAAGTCACTTGATTTTCAACATCTTCGTATTGTGACAGAGTCCGTAATCTATAATTTTCGAGGACCGTTGGGACTGCAGATGGCTTTACGCTAGCTTGGAACGTGACATCACATGTGTCATGTGACATAGCAAATATCTCAGCACCATTGTGGTTGCATCACACATTCTACTCTGCCGTGAAAAATTTTAATAGGCAGTAAATAAGAGGTTAACATTGGGTGGAAATTGTTCTTGTGCTTACGTCAAGCTGTTCTGCAAGCTCCCCAACAGGTGTTCGTCTGTTTGCCTCCATTAGTGACTTGAATTCGTCGTCGTCAAGTTCACTGGGACGTCCGCTGCCTTCCATAACATCGAGGTCGAAATCACCAGATCGGAATTTCTTGAACCATGTTCGCAGTGTTGGTTCACCATTACTACCTTCATCCCAAACTTCATGATATTCCGAGCTCCTGTCGCGGCATTATGCCCACTTTTCCACTCGTACAAAAAAGAACACGAATATCACCGTTGATTCATGCTAACGTAAAGCTTATAAAAACGTTGAAATAATAAATCTTGGAAAAATCAATAATCGATATAGAAAATGCAGACTTTGTGCTTCAAAATTCATTTAAAAACTTGCACGGAATATTGGAAGGATAAGACCAAATATTTCATATGTTTATTTTTTTATGTGACCCTTCTTCACGTTTACTGTGCGGATCCCAGCACTTCTCACATTCGATTCGTTTCCTCGCATCCACTGTCCACTAAGATCTTCCGACTTTAGGTGTGGCTTCGGTTGCTGCTTGAAGATTTTCATTTTGTCTCGAATGCCGTAGAATGCTGCTAGAGCAATTCTCCTTGGAATCCTGGGAGGGCTGGAGCGTTCCCAATTGGATTGCAGAGAGTGATCTTTTTTCAGACAAGTCCGGCACCAATTTGCCGACCCTGGAGGGATGAGAAGTTCAGTTGACCCGAAGCCGAATCAAACTAGTACCATGCTCATGATGACGGACATCGCTACCAATGCGCTATTCGCTCGCTACATTTCATTATATTCCAACATAATACATTGTAGGCACAGTTGTCGCTTCGCTATGGTTGCCCTCTTTCTCGCCTGTACTGTAATCCTTCGTCCTTATGGCTTAAACGGTGTTGTTGCCTCATTGCGACCAAGTTCTACATG